AGCCCGGCCTCCTGGAGATGGTGGAGGAAGAAGGTAGGAGCCAGGGACCCGGACCTGGGCCCCACTGCCGACATCGGGTCCTTCCGGCTCCCCAGACCCGGCGCCGCTGCGGGGCAAGGGGTCTGGCCGGGCCGGCCTCCAGTCTCTCCCTCCCCTGCTCCGGCTGCTCCTTAACCCTGGCCCCACGCCCATCTGCTAGAGATTCTTAAGCTCTTGGCTGCTCAGTGGAAGCCTTGATTCTGCTGAGAAATAGTTGTCCGTTCTTCTCACAGGTCTTTGCACAAACCTAAGCTTTGAGGATCTGTTTTACTAACTCGTTTCCGTAAAAGTGCATGCATTTTTGGTGCTGCTATCTCCGTTACCCCAGTGTCAACAATTTCACGTTCTGTTTAGTATTAGAGCAAAACCAGAGAACGGGGGTTAAAGTAATGAAAGATCTGATCATGGACTTACTCTTGGGTCTTCAAAAGGACCAAGGAATGGACTGCATTATTGTATCCGTCCTTTCCCCCTTTAAAAACAGCTTTGCTGAGCTATAAAGGCCAGTGATTGTTAGTACGTTTGCAGAATTTTGTAGCCAACACCACAAAGTAATTAAAGAACACTTTCATCTACCAAAATAGAAACCTCCTATGCCGTTTGCTCCCGCCCCACCCTGACTTCAGGCAGCCACCAATCAGTCCACTCGCCGTGGCCATAGATTTGCCATAGCAAGGACCATGCGATGTGGGATGCCCTGTATTGGCTTCTCTCTCAGCGTGTCTGCTGCACATCCCACTGCAGAGCTGTGCCGTACCTATCTTCAAATGGGCCTTCGAGTTATTTACATTTTTTGCAACTTTGAAAACTGCTGCAGTGAATATTCATCTGCAATTTTCTGTGGGAATGTTTCCATTTGTTGGGTGTATACTAGATAGAGAATTGCTGGATCATGTAGTCGAGCTCTAATGAACATTTTGAGGCACTATCAAACTGATTACCAAGTGTCCACAATATTTTACATTTCCGCCAGTAGCGTACAAAAGTCCCAGTTTCTCCTCATCATCACGAGCACTTGTTATTTGCCATTGAGAAATGTCTGTTCAAAACCTTTGCCCATTTAAAAAAATTGGGTGGTATGTTCATTATTGACTTGTAAGAGTTCTTTATATATTCTTGGTACAAGTGCTCTTATAAGATATATGCGTTCCAAGTATTTTCTTCCATTCTGCTGGTTATCTTCTTTTGTTCTTTTGTTCTACATGGTGACACTTGAAACTCATCATTTTACTTCTGAAATAAATATAATTTGAAGATAGGAGAAAAAGAAGCTATTGAAAACTTTAAGCTATGATAAATGGCTCTGATAAACAATGAAATAAATGCATGTTCTAGGGAAAATGATTGTTGATTAGTAGTGCAAAGAAAAAAACCCAAATAACTTTCAGGTGTTTAAAATTGGAAGTCTCTTTCAATATTTGCTTGATGGTTTAGGCCTTTGCTGAGAATTATTTCATGTTGTACTTCTAGCAATCTGAAAGTCCAAATAGATATTTTCCCATTTAAAACATCCAGGAATTACTTATAGTTGGTTTTTGTGAGATAAAACTGTGTGTGCTTTAAAAGTTTATTCTTTGTTGAAGGGAGAGTAGAGAGAATGTTCTCTTCCTAATGAAGAAAGGTATTTTAGTGTAGCATTGGAGAGATAAATCATTATCCTCTTTGGGTTGTTTGCAATGTGATGTATTTGAGCCTTGAGAGATTTTCCTTACCAGAATCAATACTTTAGACTCATATCACTTGAGTTTGAGGTTGTACATTGCATAAACCCATCCCACACAGTTTTAGAACTTTTCCCCAAATCGTTTTAGTTTTCCTTTTTCTTGGCAAAGACTTTTTCAATTTATTTATTCTTCTCCTCACCATCAAAGCTGAGCTTCTGATGTGGATGGAGATATAAGCAGAAGTGTGGCTGGAGGAGTCTGGTTACTGTGTTTGGCCCAAATTTCCATGTCCAGATCTTTTCCTCGATTCACAACTCCAGGGGCGGGAACAGGGGTCAAGGATCCAGGTGGGTCTGGTCACTGAGGAGACACTTACTTTCCTAGGCGTGCGATCGAAATGTCAACTATATTTCTGGGTTGATTTTTCCTCCTCATTGCCTGTACCTTTGTTATAGAGTTTTGTAAATGTTCATTATATCAACGTCTTGTTTCTTAATACCAGGAATCCTGTGGAATTTTGCAAGCCCACTTTCAGATATGGTCCTCCCCCAACTTAGTTGACACAATTATAAAGACGGCTGAAGAATGCTAAAAATGTCTAGGTTCCATAATATTTGATTTTAGGTGCTACTTTCATTTTTGCATATTAAGATGTACAAAGGTTTCTTACAGTAAATTAATCACATAAGTAAAACTCAATCTTATATTTGTGTGTTTCCTAAATCACCTTTGAAGATTAAACGTGAGTCGGTGTATTGATTTACACAAGATTTATTTCTACAGAGACAATTAACATCTTGTACTTAGTTAATGAGGTGGTCCTAGGAATTTTTACATTTCCCCTGAGTGTGTTCAGTCACAATGGAACATGTAAGACATCAGTGATCTCCAGCTGTATATTTTCCTGTGTACTGATCCTTAACATGCAATTCTACAGGCATAGTGTAATAGGCACTTAAATTGCTATGTAGAAACCACTCCTAGTAATACATCGGTGTTGGAATTGAAGTCTTTATTGGTTGAGACTGTAAGGAAATTCTTACTTGCAGTATTCATTCTTTACTTGCACTAAGAAAGCTCAGGATTTAAAAAGACCATGTAGGAGCTTAGCATTGGAAAAGGCAGTTTCAAAAGTTGAATGTAAAGTTGTGGATATCTTTACAATCAGACCGTGTGCCATATTGAATGAAACCACCTGCCTTTCCATAAAGTAAATGTTTATAAATGCATTTGTGAGCACTTTGCCAACAGGAAAAACATTCAGTGATTTCATGGTTGTGAAGACGTTACAGAATATACTTACACAGAGCTGGAATAGTCTGCTACACACCTACACTGTATTATAATCTTTTAGGAACAGTGTATTATTTGTGTTCTGCTGTAGAAGAAAATGCTGGTCTGTGAGCACCTGACTATATTTTATTTTGTGCTGCTGGTACAAGTGTAAACTGAGAAGACCATTGGGTAGATGCAAGGGCTATTTTTGGGTTTGGGGTTTGCTGGGTGGTATATTCTTAGCCATGTGCTTTCAGTGAAGACTCAAAGCTCAGGCTGCCGGCTGGCTTTACTTTTGAACATACATTTTCTGATTCTCCCTGGTGATTAGTGCCAGACCTTTATTATCTCTGGTTTCTAGCCTGAAAGGCCGGTACAGTCATCTGCATTCCTTTTAGTGAAAGTTGGAGAAGTCCCAAGGAGCCATCGTGGAGTTGCTGGCTTCAGATCCTGCCCCTTCAGATAAGCCTGCTTCGAGAGGGGTGATGCGTGTTTAGTACGTCATTCTTCTCTGTAAGTGTCTAAGAATATTGCATCAGTGTCCGCTGTGTGACGAGGGGAGGGCGAGAGAGCTGAGGAGCAGTAAGTGTAAGGAGCAGCACAGCACATGAAGAAAGCAGACTCCGTGGGGTCTTTCTGCTTTCACGAAACGATGCAACTCACAAAGTGTGCCTTTGACAGTGCTCAACAGGTCTGAAAGGAGAATGTCTAAATTTACATCATGTGAACTCTCAGCAAGAGTTAGCCGGGGAAGAGAACAATTGCTCAGTCCAGATAAAGGCGAGTGTTTAAAGGGGACAGTGTGAGAGGAGGTGTAAGCGGTGAGGACTTCTGCAGGGTTTGTGTTGCCCTTCAAATAAATAAGCGCATGGTGTCAAGTTCGCAGAACATTTGAAAACATTGTTTCACTTGTTTATTTTTATGTCAAATGGACCAAAAATAACTGGAGGAGGGAAATGATAGTGCTTGTAGTCTTTCAAATTTCTTTTCATAAAAGTGGAATTGTATAGAGCTCTGTAAACCTAGCCTCGTGCCTGTACTTACTTGACTGTCCTGTACTTGGAACTACATTTTATTTGATGTATTGCTGTTGGCAAAGAGTGACAGTCTTTGTCCTCAAGAAAATAGAAGCCTCCATAAGTCTATGGTGAAGGATCACAGCTAAAGAGGCAAATAGGCATTCCTTAACTCCTATTTTTTATTGAGTAGTTATAATTTGTACCAGTTTGTTTTGTTTTGTTCAAACAAAACACTTAAGCCTGGATGTTTGACAAGAAAAGAAATCAACTTAATCTACAGTTTTAGAGGCCGAAAGGTCAAAGATCATGTTGACCCAGCCATTCTTTCTGATGTGGCCCTGGTGCATTGGAGAGGGAGATGTCAGGGACAAGAATGATTTAGGGGAAGAGCTTGCTCTTTATGTAACTATCTGGTCTTGTAGGAACTCACCAGGGCCTCTCCAGAACCACTTCCATCTCTTGCAAGACTTCCATGATTTCCAAGACTTCCACGGCCACATGACTTCCGACCAACCATACCTCTTAAAAGTTCCCCGGCTCCCTCTCAGCGCTGCCACACTGGGACTGGGCTTCCAGAACAGGAAGCATTAGGGGACAGGGTCTACCCATACCCCTAGCACAGCACAGACTAGTTAGGTCTATGTTCATTTCACACACGAAGCCAATGTCTGCACATTGTGAGTTTTGAGATAACATTCATGGAGAACTGCTTTTCTGATGGTACTGTAGAATATATATTTTGGAGCAGATGTTCATTTATATTCCTGTCTTTTTCATGAGAAAGACTGCATTCGGAAACGTGATACGGCTGCTGTGGCTTAGTTCTTTGTATTTTGCTTAAAATAACTTGAAAGTTTAATAGCAGATCTTGCAGTGAAATGATCTGAATCCAAAATGAATGAATTCATCTGCATTCTGATACTCTGAAAATTCACTCAGAGAATTTAGTACAGTTTAAAAATGAATAAGGAACAGAGAATATCCTAATATTAATATCAACAGGAGCAGCAGTTTGACCTTCTTTGTGGAAAGTACAGGCATGTGTCATCCAGGGCTGGCACAGACAGGATGATAGATCTTCTGCCATTTATGTGGTTGCTGAGAGCTTTGAATTCATGTCATGCATGCTCTTGCCAGGAAGGGTAGGGAATGTTTCGTTTTGTTTTCTTTCTTTTTTTTTTTTTGGTAGCGGGGATTGAACTCAGGCCCACTTTCGAGGCAGGTGGCGAAACCACTGAGCCAAATCCCTGACCCTTCTTTTTTGTTGTTGTTGTTTTTGACAGCACATTGCTGCCACGTATATGGTGCTGCCTCCATTCATTGCAAATACATTCCAAGCCCCCCAGTGAATGCCTTGAATTGTGAATGGTATCAAATCCTGTACATTTAATGTTTGTTTCTCATATCACAGCTATGAAGCTGTTTAATTTATAAACTGCATACAGTAACAGATTAACATCAAGAATTAATAAAATGGAACAACCATAATGATATATTGAGCAAAACTGAATGGATGAGGTCTATTGCTCTTACAGTGTTACTGTACTCATGCTTCTTGGGATTAGTCTTTACCATTAACGAGCAGCATAGTTGGTGGAGAGCGTTCTAACCATTGTAAGTTTCCATTAATTTTGTTTAATAAGTTTAATGTTTTTTGAAGTGAATTGTGTTTCTTAGATTGTGAAAAAAAAGCTATACAAATAGAATATTTATATTCCCTATATTTTTAGAGGATACAGTAACTCTTCCCAAAATTATAGTTCCTGTGGGTGGCCTTTAAGTGGTAGCAATATTTTATTTTATTCCCACTGTGGTATTTTTCCCTCCTCTAATGCACTTTTGTGCAGAGTGTTTGTCAACTGGAGAAATTTTGCTCAGTGTTTTTCCAGGTTGGAGTCCCTAGAGAGTAATAGCCAGAATTCTCTGTGTAACAGGTTTAGCATCAGAAACTTAATTGAATACATGTGACAGTTCGGAGGGCTGGGCATGTCATTGCTGCAATAAAGATATCTGTGTGAGGAAAGTAACTGGGCCTCTTCAGAAATAGTCCTGCTCTGGGAGTGTTTTCCTTCCACCTGCTCTGGTTCACTTCCGGGAGACAAGTGCAGAAAGGCTCAGTCTCACCAGGAGAGCCAGGACAACCCATGAACGTTGCTGCTGAATGTTTCCTCTCAGCAGTTTTGCTCTGAGTTGATATCTGCGTTGAGCAGAGTTAAATTTCTTGCCTCATGAACGAATTTATTTACTACATATCAGTCAGTATCTGTGCTTTCTCCCTAGAGTATAAACAGTCCTTAGTGAGGTGCTTTGGGGAGGTTATTTGGAGCAATTTTACTCCAGGAAGATACTGCACACTTTCTTCCACTGTGTTTTTGTTCTCTCAGAGTGGCTTCTTTATCAATTTCTTATTTTCTCCTAACATAGATTTTTCAAACATGGTCGGACTGGTTGGCAAATGTAACATAGTTTTCTTTTTCTAATTTCATCTAGTGAGAAGTAACAGTCAAGACACTGGCTATACCCTCCAAATGAGTGAGGTAAGTTAAATACGGGTGTATGTGAGCTTTCCCGTCTGTACGAAATGAAAAACCAAGGCAAGGTCAGCAGGACCAGTCAAACCTTTGCTTAGAATATAATTGTTTGTGTTGTCCTCTCTCTCACCTATTCATTTTCAGGAAGAAAACAAATTTCATGTCATATGCATATTTAATATTATATACTTCTAGCTGCTAGAATAAACATTTGAACGTCTTTTGGGGTTTCTCGTTAATTAAACTCAGATATGCTGGGCTTCGATATGCAAGAGAGTAGTGTTTAGCCCTACACTTCGCAAGATGCAATTGAGGTTCAGGGGTGACAGAATTTGTAATATAGTTGTTACCAAATGATGTGTTCTTATCGGTAACGGTACCAGGGTTCAAGCGACCAGCATAAATGAAGTACGTGCCTTAAGTGAGACGGTACCTAATCAGTTTGAATGTGGCTGGCCTGCTGTGCCTGCAGGTTCCTCTTTGAATTCTGTCAACCACAGATCAAAAATACCGGGAGGATTGCATCTTCACCGAACGTCTTTACCGCTCCTTTTTCTCTGCGGTTGTTCCTAAGTAACGCGGTATTGCGGCCGTTTCTACAGCACTGACGTTGCGTTAGGTATCGCGGTTAATCGAGGAGATATAAGATTTTAAAATTCAGTCTGCCACACACTGAGACTGCACGCTGCCCTCCTCCCTGGGAGACTGTGCTCAGATTTAAGTAAAAGTGACATTTTCAAAACATAATACCCCCCAAATCCGTGTTTCCGTATTTCCCAGAATCAGAAGGATCTCAGGAGAATGTGGAAATGTAGTCAGTAACTGCCCATGCTGAGATGACCGCAAAAAGAGACGTTATAATCGATCGAAATACAGACATGGGTTTGAAAAGTATAGAAACTGAAAAATTTCAGTGGCAGAATTCAGGAGACGGAAGAAGGAAGCCTTGAATTTGAATATAGGAGCGTGGCATGAACAGCAGAAAAACGTGGACTGGGAAAGAAAAAAAAAACAGAAAGTACAGATCTGGAGAGAAACGTGGCTCTATAAGGAAAGATCTAACCTTTATGCCCTGGGAGGCCCACAAGAGGCAAAAGAGAAAGAGCTGCTGGGAGAGAGAAATCGTAGTGGAAAAATCAGCTCGAAAAAGTCACACTGACCTACAGATTCAAAGAGCAGAAGCAACTGCAACGGGATAAACCCGAAGAATTTCACATATATCAAATGAAACTTTAGTTCTTGTTCTTTTCCTTCTTAAACTTTTTATTAGTACATATTTGTTTCACAACACGGCACAGAACAGATCCTCATTCTTTTTCTTCCCTTCCCCTTTCCTACCCTTCCCCTTTCCTCTGTCTCTTGGTCCCCATCTTTTTCGTAAATAGAAAAAATCCATCTCCCTGCTTCCTATTTTATTCTTCGATTTATTTATATTTTGGATTTCTTACGTAACAGAAACCACACGATATTTGACTCGACACTGTGATCTCAGAGTGCATCTGTTTTCCTACAAAAGATTCAAGTTTATCGTTCTGTCTGGCAGAGTAGTACTCCACTGTGTAAAAAATAGCACATTTCCTTTACCCTTCCACCTGCAGACGTGTATATTGGGTCCCCCCCCCCAAGATTTAGCTTTCATCAGTTGTGATGCTAGAAACATGAACGTGCATGTGCATGATGTCTTTAGCTTTTTCAGGAAGATATCTAGAAGGAGAGTAGTTTATAGAACCAGACTAGGAAAAAATCTTGAAAACAATGGGTGAAACAACAGCTGAATATTACGGGGAAACTAAGTAAAATAACAACAGATTTTTTTTTTTATCTGTCAGAAATCATGAAGACTGAAGAATTGGTAAACAAATTTTCAAGTGCAGCCCCAGCAAAATCTAGAAGCTAGTACTACTACTGTTTAATATTGTTTAATACATTCTTTTGTTTGGTACCAGGGATCAAATTCGGGCCCTTGATGAGAGGCAGGCGGTGGAACCACTGAGCCAAATCCCCGACCCAATACAATCTTAGCAGTGCAGTGAACGCTATAAGAATTTCTGCTTTTGCAAAGATACAAAAAATAGTATTGCAATTGTAGACCGTGGCCTTTCAAAAAAAAGCTGTTATGTAGGAAATCTGGTTTTAAAAAACACTTCATATTGTGTGATGTATTTAACCCTCTGATTCGGTGATTTGGAATGCTACTGGCTTCAGATGCTGTTTCTAGCATATACACACATCCATGCATTTTCACACACGCGTGTAACATGTCTCAGTCCTATCCACAACTCCACCCCCATTGCTCTACCCCTTTCTCCTCCTCCTGCCCTTTGCCCTGCCTCTGCTGCAGTAGGTCTCCCTTCAACGTGTTCTGGAATTCAGGAAAACTTGGGAAATTTTTTTCACTAGCACATCTACCCTGAAAGATTAGCGAAGAAAAATGCCTCAAAAAGTTCTTTTTGAAAAAAGAAAAAGATGAAAAAAACAACACGGGCAAAAAGAAAGAACAAGAAAAAGTTAAAGTATGGGTAACTTAATCTATTTCCTTTTTTACGATTGAGGGCTCTGAATTAATAGCAGAATCAAAAACAATTTAAGCACTGATGTGATTTTCAATCTACGTAGGGAAATATTTAACAGGGAATAAATAGAAAATAACAGCACAGGTGTTTATGAAATGCACACCAAGACAGACCATATTGTAAGCTGTGCGACAAACCTCAAGAAACTTAAGAACTGACATAAGAAAGAATGCTTTCCTTGACCACAGTGGAATCAAGCCAGAAGTAACAGAAATACAACAGGAGTATCTCCAAACATTTGGAAACTAAGCAATATGCTTTCAAATAATCCAAAAATCAGAGAAATTCTCAAAGAAAAAATAAAAACAAATAAATAAAACCAAACTGAATGGAAATTAAAATGTAATAGATCACCATTTGGGAGGTGGAACCTAAGCATTTTTGAGAGGGGAAATGTGTAGCAGAAAAGATTACTGTTAGCCGGGTGTGGTGGCGCACACCTGTAATCCCAGCACTCGGGAGGCTGAGGCAGGAGGATCGCTGTGAGTTTGAGACCAGCCTGGGCTACATAGTGAGTTCCAGGGCAGTCTCAACTACATAGTGAAACCCTGTCTCCAAAAAAAAAAAAGAGAAAAGATTAATGTTAATGATAATGAAAAGTCTGAAAGGAGTAATAAGCTTGGGTCTCAAGGAAGTGGAGCAACAGAAACCCAAAGAAATCAGGAGGAAAATAAACACAAGAATAAGAGTGGAAACCAACGCACTAAGATTCAAAGCATAATTAGAGAAAAATCACTGAAACAAAACCTATTATTGGAAGATCAATAAAGTAAAAAAACCTCCAGCTGAAGATAGAAAGTGTCGGGGGGACAAGAACACATATGATCTCTGTCAGGAGTTAATTGATATTCACCACTATGTATGGATAGAATGAATTCATCATAGGGTCACTGGTCATTGGAATGTAAGTAGAAGTTAATTTTACAAAGCCAGTCTCACTATGTGAAGGTCATGATGGAGAGAGGTTAACATGCTCAAGATTACAAATATTGTTAGTTTTACATAATTGAAGAAAGTTCATGAAGAGCCTACAAAATGAAACTATAAATCAGTATGTTATTGTAGCTACTAAATTTTGGAGCTAAGATTCAAAGATCATCTGATTCTAGAGTTAGCTTTCTCAATCACTTTATTATATTATTATTATATTTTTGGTATCGGGATTCAAACTCGGGACCATGCCCTTGTGAGGTAGGTGGCAGCACCACTGAACTAAATCCCAGGCTCAATCAACAGTTATTTTTACAAAATACTCATCTAAGTATTAGATTACAGTACTATTTTAAGTACTGTAAGCCATCCTGTTGCTGGCCTTTGTTGGTATTTTTATTGTCTTGATTTTTGGTGCTAAGAATTGAACACAGGACCTTGTGTGTGCTAGGCAAGCACTCTACCATGAGTGTAAATCCACAGTCCTTTCTGGATGGCTTTTAATTATTCAATCTCTTATCCTCTCCCCAACCCAAAGGATTAAACCCAGGGCCGTTATACTGTGCTACACATCTTAGTCATTTTTATGCTTTCTTTAGTCACCGGCCCTCACTAAGTCACTAAAGTCACTAAATTGCTATGATTGGGCTTAATCGTAGGATCTTCTTGCTTCAGCGTTCCGGAATGCTGGGATTATGTGTGTACCCACCACCTCCCGCTATCTTCAATTTCTTTATTTTTTATTGATCTGCTCAAGCTTTCCATTTCTCTCTGATTCACTCTGGTAGTTATGCTTTGCTAAAGTTCATTCATTCCTTCTACATTACAATGTGGGCATATAATTGTTTGTAATATTCCCTTACGATCATTTTATTTCAAAGTATTTCATCTTATTAAAAAGCTTCTACACTGCAAAAGAAACCATCAACAGAACTAAGAGAAAACCTAAAATGTGGGAAAAAATTTTTACCAGCTGCTCCTCAAAGGACTATTACCTAGAATATATAAAGAACTCAAAACAATCATACCCCTCAAATATAAAGACACGATTAAAAACTGGGCATCTGAAATGAAGACATTTCTCAGAAAAAGAAGTAAAAGCATCAAGTAAATATATGAAAAAATGTTCATATCACTGGTCATTTGAGAGATGTAGATAAAAACAATACTGAGATTCCATGTCACCCCACAAAGAATGGCTGCTATCAAGAAATCAACCAATAACAAATGCTGGCGGGATTGTGAGGAGAAAGGAACCCTTCTCCATTGTTGGTGGGAGTGTAGACTGGTGCAACCACTATGGAAGTCAATATGGAGATACCTCAAAGAGCTGGGACTGGAGGTTCCATTTGACCCAGCCATCCCTCTGCTGGGTATCTTTCCAAAAGAATTAAAGGTATCATACCACAGTGATATATGTGCATCCATGTTTATAGCGTTATAATTTGTAATAGCTAAAACTTGGAAACAACCGCCCATTTCCCCATCAGTTGGAGACTGGGTAAAGAAGACGTGGTTTTTCTATAAAATGGAATACTACTCAGCCATAAAGAATGAGAAATTAGAGTCATCATAGGAAAATGGATGCATATTGAGGATATGCTCTTAAGTGAAATAAATAAGTCACACATCTGTAAATACCAAATAATTTCTCTGATGTGAAAAACTATAATTGTAAATAAGATCCTAATTTTATAATTGACAATGTGAAATAGGAAGAAAAGGGCTAAAGGTACAGGGAATGTGGAAAGGGTAGGGGAAAGGAAATAAGGGAAAAGAAAAAAGTATGAGAAAATGAAAAAATGGAAATTAAATTTTGTAAAGAGGGAGGGGAGGAGGGAGTGAAGGGAGGGCAGGGACAAGGGGAAAAAATGAGAACCAAGGCCTGTCCTGTAAAGGAACAAGATCCCAGATCCCAAAATTAAATTTTGTAAAGAGGGAGGGGAGGAGGGAGTGAAGGGAGGGCAGGGACAAGGGGAAAAAATGAGAACCAAGGCCTGTCCTGTAAAGGAACAAGATCCCAATGATGAATGTAACTGTACTGTCTACTTCAAATGTACCAATAAACTCAATGAGAAAACACAAAACAAAACAAAACTTTCATTTCTAATTTTTATTTGAGTCTCTCTCAGCATTTGTTGATTTTATTGTTTTTCAAAGAATCTTACTTTTACTAATTTTTCCCTTTTTTCTTTCTATATTTGATTTGTTTCTATTCTTGTCTTTATTATTTCCTTCAGGTAACTTCTGGTTTATTTCTTTTAGAGATCTTTTAAGTGTAACATTAGAGACTACTTATTTGTAATATTTGTTCTTTCATAAAGAAGGCATCTGTTGCCTTAAACTTTTTTTTGAACTGAGTTCACTGCCCTCCAAGAGGTTTGATATGCTTTGTTTCCATCTTTGTTTCAAGATAATTTTATTTCCCTTTGATATCATTTTGATTTGATGATTGTTCAGCTGCTTGCTTAAAGTCCAGGTGTTTGTGAATTCAATTTCCTGATCTTCCTCATTACTGATTTATAAATTCATACTGTTGGGTGAGCAACAAAGCTAGAGATGGTTTCAGGCTTCATGAATTTGTTAAGACTTATTCTGTGGGCTATCATCTGTTCTATCCTGGAGCATTTTCCATGTGCTTTAAAGACTCAATATTTTACTATGGATAGGTGGATAATTCTACATATACTGGATCTGTTTTATATAATGGCAGGTAAAGCCTACTATCTGCTTGTTAATTTTCTGTCTAATCTACCCACTGTTGAGAGAGGTGCACTGGAGCCCTGTACTAATACTGTATCACAATGTATTTCTTCCTTCATTTCTATTCTGTATGCTTTTTATATTTATCTAGCTTACCAAAATTAAATCAGGAAAAAAAACCCAAATCTCTTAGCAGACAAACAACAAATAAAGAGATTGAAAATTAATTTAAAATCTTCCAAGAAAGAAATGCCCAGGACCAGACAGCTTCATGGCTAAATTCTATCAAATATTCAAATCAGAATTAATGCCAGTGTTTCATAAATACACCCACAAGTTAGAAGCAAAGGAAAAACTTTCCAACACATTTTATGTAGCTAGCATCACAAGGAATGTAAGGCAAGCAAGACAAGAAAAACATAGGCCAATACTGTGTCTCTGATGAACATTAGTGCAAAGACCTGCAGCAAAATATCAGGAAAGTGAATCCAGCAATGCACAAAATATTGTACTTCATGACCAACTAAGGTTTATTCCTGGCATGCAAGACTGTTTATCATGTCTAAATCAGTGTGCCATGTCACAATAACAGAATGGAAAATCTAAGCCTCTCAAATCATGCAGAAAGAAAGTCTTCAACACAATTCAGCTTGTATTGTTTCCATTGTACATGAGTACTATAATGAATAATCGTAAATATTTTACTCTGGATATCTGCTAAATGAATAGGTGATAGCTACTGTTATCCCTGGGTGGGTGGGTGAGAAGACTAGGTGGTTATGTCAGACAGTGGATGCATTAAATTGTTCCATTGTAGTAACTGTTTCACTGTGTGTGTGTTATAACAGCACAATGTATGCCTTAAATCTATGCAAAACCAAAAGAATCATGTATAGAAGTTAGGGTATTTGTTTTTGAATTTCACTGACGGAATATTGCTACTTATAGTCACAATAGTCAGGATAAGTGCTCAATTTCTGTGATGATTTATAGATCCTCCCAATATTACTGCATGTTATTCCTAGTATGAATTTGTACCCCTCACCCATTTATTTATTTCATTCCATTTTGACCATTTCCCTAACTTCTTTAATGGCTGGGGTCTGGGAAGGAGGCACCTGGGATGGGCGAGCCCTGGGCACTGCTGAGGGGAAGGTAGAATTGAAAACATCATGGGTTTTCCTTTTACCTGATCGAGGGCAACAAAAAGTGGGACACAGAAACACTCACCCAAAGGAGAAGAATCCTGGATAATTTAATTTTATATTTATCACACTCAACAGATAACCACAAGATTTAATTAGAAATGACAGAAAATTATGTTTACTGAAGTTGGAGATTTTAAAGTGACTAGCCGGGTTGCTTTTGGAATATTTATTGTATATTTTCCTTCTACCATTTTATAAGCAAAACAACTGATCTTTATGTAGGATAAAATTAAAAATATGAGGTTATTATAAAGGGAAAGTATTCTATGTTTATTGTGGAAATGTAGTTGCACCATTTATTTTTAGAATTGACATTCTGTAACTTTCTTTGGTATCTGAGATTATGAAGAGTTAAGGACAGGGCCGGGGATTTAGCTCAGTGGTTCGGTGGCCTGTCTTGCAAGCGCAAGCACCAGAGTTCAATCCCCGCTACCAAAAAAAGAGTTAAGGACATTCATTCAAGGACCTCACAGCCAGAACCATGTGTAAGTGAAGAAGGGTCTGAATATGTATTTATTCATAGACTCTCAGTCTGTGAACTCTTTACACCTGGTTCAGTATCCTTTTAATGTCATATATTCCTTTCAACCTTTTGTGTAATAATTTACACTGAATAAAGTAGTATGAATATTGTCACATGTTCAGAATCATCTCTTCCTCCTCAAGAACAGAAGGACATTATTGCTTCTTCATAGCATGTTTGTTCCCATGATGCTCCAAAGCATTTTTAAAATTATGTCCATAGCAATTTTTGTTTCTTCTTTCCCCCCCCAAACCTGATTTTCCCAGCATCATTTAGCCACAATGATAAGTTGATTATTCATTGAGATTTTTCCAGGAACAAGATAAGGGAGCTCTCAGTTTGGACAGGAGTTGCAGGCCGATTCTGTCAGCTGCTGCCTCTCTGTAGTGCTCCTCTGTCCCCAGTGACTGCTGACACCAGTGGGCGTGGCCCCAGGACCACCTGCAGCACACAGGTCACTATAGTGTGGACACTGGACAAACGCTCATCACACTATGGAAGGCTTTGTCATTGCTGTAATGGCAAGAGAACTGGGTGCATTGGTGGTCACCTATTGGTTTTTTCCCTTTCGTTATAATTGTGAAATTCCTTAAGAGTCCTTGATGTTGCATTTTCCGAGGTATTCATTTTCATACTTTTAAACCAATGTTTAAAGGTACAGAATAACCAGTTAAGTCTTCCCTTCCTTTTGGTCTTGGTCAGAATTCAGCATCCTTAGGAGACTAATTAAAACCACTTTTATTTCTCTGCATTGCAGTAGTTTTTACCCATTTCTTGTGTCACAAACTCTTGTATTGCTTAAGAAAGCGAACACCCAATTTCTATTCTCTCTTAAGCACCCTCTCAGTCTCCACACAGACTCATGTACCGATTCCTACCCTTACACGTGTATGCACACATGCACACAACTTTGCACACATGTTAAGGTGTTATGAGTTCTGGGTTTAATACATTGGCTTGAAGAATCTCAGTGTTTTGTTATGGAAACTTACTTGTTCTACTTCCTTTACTTACACTGTTACTAACAGAATTATTTTCTTCCCCTGGTGCTGTTAACAGAGCCTGAGTAGCAGAGAAACCAGCTTTCTCATCAATGAAGAACGGACGGTAAGCAGCAACTTGTACTGTCCTTCGTATGGACAGACTTACACACCTTTGCATCGTCTTCAGAAAGGATACTGTTTTTCTCAATTCAGTTTTTCTCAGGCCCTATACATAATATTTGAGAATTTCTTCCTCTTGAAAAAAATAGTTTATTTAGGGGAAAATTGACATAAGATATATTCTGGAATGACTCGTTTTATTCATTGAGTTTAGTGGTAATTTTAGGTATACAATATGATGACACTCATCATTGGAAATTTGATAAATCTTGGCTTATTTTTCCCCATTTCCCTTGCCCTCCCTTTAATCCCTCTTCCCCTCCCTATTTACAAAGACTTTGTTTCCGTTTTTCCTTCTTTTCTCATATTTTTGTCTTTCCCCTTCCGCTTTGGGCCCTTTCTTCCTATTTCACATCACCTATTACTCATTTTAGTTCTCATTTACACTTTCAGTTTCTGACACCAGAGAAACTATTTGGTATTTACAAATGGGCCCTATTTATTTCACTTGAGTGACGCCTCAGTGTGCATCCATTTAACTGTAAATGTCTCTAGTTTATCATTTGTTATGAAATAATATGTTTATCAGAGTGCTTTGCTTGCAGTTTTATAATTCCCAGGGTTTTTGTTTGTTTGTTTGTTTGTTTTTTGGGTTAACAAGGATGGAACTGAGGACTCTGCACTTGGGAGGCAGGCGCGGGGTGCCACTGAGCTAAATCCCTGGCCCAGTTCCCAGTTTAGATGATTTGATCAAAGTTCTCTTTATGTTGAAAGGGTAGATGCATAACTAGAACGTGACTTTCTGAGGCTGAATTCAGTATTCTTCCTCCATTGTATCACGCTCACCTATAAATGCACATCTAAGACGAATCATGAAGTACAACTTATTTAAAATTTAAATTTCATATCAATTAAGAGTTTATGTGAGAAATGTGGAAACTTTTTCAAAGTTTGCTTAGTAAATAAAAGATGGTGATTGAAACAGAGGTTGGAGAAATAGAGTTGATGATTTTAATATAGATGCTATTTTGTTTTTCACTATGATACTAATCTTAGCATTCTGAATTAGGATTTTTGTATTCATTGAACTGAAATAATTGCAGTTTTGTTGATTCTTGTTCTTGTTTGTTTTTAGCTCATCTAAAACGTTTACATTATTCCAAAGACAAACCATAAATAGAATAAACTTTAGGGAAGCCTAAAGCTTATATAATTTGCTGTCACACCTTAAGCAAAATAATGGAAAACTATTTTCCCAACAGAATACCTTATTAGAACCCTTCCTAACTCCTTACAAGGGGCAGGTGCAAGAGACTTTATTGGGTCGAAGGTAAATCCATCTCAGGCAGAGCTTAGCATTGTTAGAGAAAACTTGTCTCCTCCTTTGACCTCTCGGATATTCTGCAGTAGCCACTTTAAGTGGGTTTATTCTTCCTATGTATTGCACATGTTTGTGACAATGAGAGCCGTTGGGAATTAGTCCCTAACTACCTTTCCAGTTTATCTTTCTACAGGAGAGGTGTCATTCGAAGAACTCAGGCCCACGTTCCCCTGCTGCTTACTTTCACCTCCCTTCCTTTCTGTGTGTGACCCGGGTACGAGCGCTGATCGTCCGCAGTCAGGCTTTCTTGTCTTCACTGCTGCGTGGTGAGAGAGGCAGCCCTTTTACTGGCCACCTCTGCAACTGGCTTGGGGTCTGAGTTTAAATCTGCATTTCTCTCAGCCTGCAGGAGGTACTCAGCCTTTTCTACATCGCGTGGTGCCTTAATACATTTTTGTATTAGTCCCTTTGTATATGTTTCCCGATTTATCTCGGTCATTTAGATTTGGTCTTTTTCTTTTGACTTGATTTTCTCTCATTCCATATTTACTACTATGCCTTGGCTTGTGATAAAATTTGCACATACTTTCTGGGCGTACATTCTATTAATTTAAATTTTAAATTCAGAGTGACTTAGGTCTTATGAGATTCTTTATGTCCACATTGTCTTGGGTTAAGCAATGAGTGACTTAAATTGAACAGAAAATGGATTATTTTTATTAGTGAATATTAATTACAAAGAATAGTGGGTTACCTTTCCACATTATGCATATATCATAGCTTGGTGTCCATATCTCTAGTTCCCTGCCCCCCTCATGTTCTCTCTTCTAGACAATGACGTTTTGAAGAAGTAAATTTTATTTTACAGAAGTAAAATTTTAAGAAATTTTGCCAAAATTTTATTTTAAGAAAATTTATTTTATTTTATTTTGGATTTACAGTTTTATTCTAAGTAGAGCACACCAGTTTCCCTAAGCCCCACATACGTCCATTTTCCCATATTCTTAGCATCTTATACTATTATGGTGGATATGTTACAATCAGTGAATCGATGTGGGTACATCTTTGTTAACCACAGTTTATACTTCACTGAGATTTTCTTTGTGTCCTTCTCTACTCAGTATCCTGTAGAGGATTCCAGGTTGCATTTAGTCGCAACTCTTCAGGCCCCCCCTTGGGTGTGTGGCAGTTTCATACACTTTTCTGGATTTGGATAAACTTTAGTGTTTCTAGGAACACTGGCCTGGTATGGAAAACGAGCCCTAGTTGGGACTGACCTGATATTGCTCACTATTAGACTTGCATAATGTGCTTTGGAAGGATGGCAAAGGAATCACAGAGCTATCACAGTAGGTTAAGGGTGCGTCCTATCAGCCTGACTCGTCACGCGATGATTCAGCCTTGATCATCTGATTTCAAGTAATTTTGTCAGATTTCTCCTCTAGGAAGTCACTCCTTTTTTCTTTTCTTCCATCTCATATTATACTTATTTAGAGCTATTGATAAAGATTTCTTTTCTTCTCTCCCTCCCTTTCTCCTCCCCCCTTTTCCTTTTGTTGCTTCTTTGGCATGAACTTCTGGTATTTATTTTATACTTTGGGTTGTAATAACACTGGTACTACTTCATGCATCATATGGCTCAGAATAGCCTTCTGTTCTAGCTTTGTCTATCAGGAGGTTTCTGGTTAACTCCACTGTGCTTCTGACATACGCAATTATTTTGTTTTAATATTGGTTTTGTCTTCCTTTCTGACGCTGCAAGTTACTCCAGCCTATCTTTGTGTATGTCCTGCCTCCTTCCTGTAATGAACTACTTCTCTAGGGAATGCACTGTTTCCTTCAGTAAACTAGAGATAATACAAATAAAAGCTGTATCAGCTGAAGCCCTTTTGGTCATACAAAAAGTAGGATAACTTGAGGAAGGCTTAATAAAGGGACTTTACAAAGGTGGTGTGCAGGAGAATCCAGAAATGGCAAGTATGGAGCTATTACTATCCCTAGAACTGAAGGGCAGAGGGGATGCAGAGCTTGGTGGAACCCGAGAAGAAGAAAGTGAAGGACTCAAGACGTTCTAGTGAGGCTTGCTAACTTTGGTGGAGGGGGACAACCTTCCTGAACCCAAACATAGGAAGGGAGAAAGCCTCCTGCCTCCCGCTGTCTGTGGGAATCCAGCCATCAGGGGAGGGCTTTGACTATGACACTGGTCACCCTCACAGACTGGGAAGCCCCACAGAAAGGAATGTATGAAGATCTGCGGTGAAACCAAAGAGGTCCAGCAGACTCCTACTGCACATACTGTATTTTGTTAAAAAGTAGAAACTTAGTTTTTCAACATTATTATTGTGATGGAGCTTCCCCAGCACTGGTTTTCCTAATGTTGAAGAATCCACATAACTGAACATTTTGTTTTAAGTAGTCAATAGCAGGTTTGATTGGGTACCTTAATGGTTATCTGAATTACCAGTGCAGAAAGGCCTCTAAAACCTTGAGAATGAAATAGGGAAACACAGAACGAGGGGAACAATAGGGGTTAAGAGAACTAGTTTTGGAGTGAATATGTGTGTTCCGAGGAAATAATTTGTTAAATATGTAGAGTTTAATAAGAGTACGATCAGAATTCAAAAGACTCGGTAGAAGCATGGCTTAATAATGAGGGATGAGCATTAACAGCTATTGAAGGAATGGAGGGCTTGTTAACCTCAGGAATTATATTCTGAATACTTTGCAACTGATATGGCATCGACCTAAATCAACCAGAACGGAGCCTGAATAAATTGGTCAGAAGCAATTAGTGTGAATATATACACCACATTTACCATTGAAATTCCATGTTTAGATATTATTAATGGAAGGCACTAGCATCTTAATTTAGTTTTCTACTGATTTCATCCAGTTTCACGGCTTTCTATACAATTGGCACACCATCAACTGCTGTAGAACAAGGTTTGGGAGCTTGGACTGGGAGGGTAAGGTGCGGAATCACCAGGCAGCCTCCAGGGAGGTTTCTGGAACGCTTCCGCTTTATTCAGGAAATGCACAGGTTTATATAGGGACAACCATGAGGGAGGGGCATGGGAGGAGCATTTAACATTTGGCAATGTCTTATTGGAGGCACGGTGGAGTGATTTTTCTTGGGTGAGACGAAGGAGTCATGGACTGGGGCAGAGGTGTAGCCTGTTGGACCCAACATCTAGGCACTTAGGAGAATTAGCTCAGCCTTAGCAAGGTCTCCGAGTTAGCTCAGGAAACAGGAGTGCGGTGCACTTGGCCCAGCAAGGCTTGAACTTCTCCCACAATCAACTCTCATATTTTTATTTCTTTTGCATAATTTCCTAGGAATAAAATTTCTGGACCATAGGTAAATTATATGTATGACTTCTCATACAAGTACAAAACTATTTTTGGAAGGGTGGCACTATTTTTCAATCTTATCAGTCATGTATAAAGTTTCATTTGTTTTCCATCCTCACCAGTGGTTGATAAGACAGCTTTTTAATTTTCATAATTCTCATGAGTGGATAATGGCATCTTCTAAGCTCATTTTTCATTTCTGTGATGAATAATGACTTTGGCCATCTTTTCACGTTGAACGTTCATTTGTCTTTTGCACATTGTCTGTTCAAACGTTTTGTACATTTTAAAAAATTGGGCTGAATATCTTTTCAAGACAATTGTTGCAAAAATTTATTGTGCCTGTTTTCTCAAAATTCGTTGTTTGATTTCTTTCATTTATGTAACAAGGTTTTTAGAAAGATAGTTTGAAAACGTTCTGAAGTTCAGTTTCTTTCTCATTTATTTTGTGAGTCATCCCTTTTACATTCTATCTGAAAAAGTACTTGTAGATGCCATTTAGGGGTTATATCCTCATATTTTCCTTAGTTTTATACTTTTAGATTTTGTGTTTGAGTCTTTTGTTTCTTTTAGGTTAGATTTTGTTAACCAAAACACAAGAAGGGGATAAAGTGGCCCTGGGTGGCTCCTTTGTGTAAGACTTGGATTTCCCTTAATTCTACGTTGCATTTAGGGAAAAAACCTGAGGAGCAACAGAAACCTGTAATTCTGATAAATGAAGTCAGGAAACAGAAGGGCTGATGTGAACATCCTCAAGCAAGCGGGAAAATAGATCTTAGCATATGTTGTATGCAATAACTAACCTTCTTATATTTGTGTTGAATCTTCTGTCTGTACCCAGAACGCTCCTTACTTTGAAGAACAGGAAATTTCCCTCCCATAGTCACCAGTGGATTAGGTCTCTTCAGCCTGTTCCAAGAAAGGAGTAATTGAATCAAAACTTTTCATGTCAAGAACTGAGCTTTTTTAATGTGAATTTTATTAGATTACTTCTCCTTTCTCTGAAGCTATAAGGCGTGGATAATACCGGCCTTTTTGTACTACAGATTGAGTTTTCCTTCAAATATCAATGATTATCATAGGTATTTTTAGATAATTTCTCTGATATTTTAAATAAGGACTACTAATAGACAATTGGAGACAAATTAGCATTAAAAACTGAGCAACTTAAAAAAATATCGAGTGACTTTTCCCTTTTCCAGTAGTTTGAGAAGTCATGGAATAATATCATTTACTAGGAATTTTGCTTTTTTTAATATTTAGAGGCCTATTTTACAGAATATATGTTTTTCTTTATATTTCCGTGACTCCCATGTCTTTTCATTATTTTTCCCTCTTTTAGGATGAGTGCAGTTTCACAAGTGTTTATTAAAGTAATTTTGTAGGATTTGGGGAAATTTACCTTGAAATCTCTCTTTTCTCCCTTATTATAATCTTCCTCTTTTGATAACTCCACCCCCCCCCAGTTTTCAACATCATTCAGAGAGAGAGAGATCATGCTGAAGTCAGGGGCGTTTGTGTGCTTGTTTGGGGGGATCCTTAGTGCTGGGCAGGAAGTATTAATTCTCTCCTGGTTGCTCTACAGCCTGCAAAGCGATTCAATCTGTTCCTGAGGCGGCGTCTCATGGTAAAACATGGCAGAATGATGCTGCTTATGCTCTGGGTGGCTGCAGGAATAACCTGACCGCTTTCTCTTCCAATTGCTGTATTGATTTAGGGGACTTCGTCAGGGAGGCCTCATTCCCAGGCGACTGTTATTTCAGAGTGGTGATATCAATGTTTTTGAGATCCGATGAGACCTATGAAACGTTCCTAAAACACACACGCATGCACACACACATGTGCACACAATACGCACATGGCATTTACAGTTTTATTACTTTTTGAATTGCTGGTGGCAAAGTGTTTATGAATTTCAGAATAACTACATCACAGAAAAGAGAAGCTATTGGATGTTTGTATTATTATAAATGTACATTTCTCTGAATGTAGCACACATACACATCTTGAAAAATACAATCTTATGTCACATTTTGATGAAAATGAAAGAATAATGCATTTTAATTTATGCAGTTATATGCAAGCAAGCTGTCAGAGTTTTCTGCCCTAGCTACCTTTAATCAATTTTTATTAACAGTTGCAAGACTTGTACCTTATAGTAATTTAAAAAGTTGCCAATAATTTTTTTTCCTATATTTTTAGAAAATTACAGTGTATAGCCAAGTTCTGACATAAAGGTAGAAGTTTGAGTTTTCTCTGTAGCCCTTGGTTTTCAGGAGAAAGGGTGGATATGTACCCTTTTTTTTTCATTTTTTTCTCATTGAGTTTATTGCCATTCTAGGTATACAGTACAGTTACATTTATCATTGGGATCTTGTGCCTCTACATGACAGGTCTTGATTCTCATTTTTTCCCCTTACCTCTGCCCTCCCTTTGATAATATACTTAGGAAACTATTGGAGTCACTCTCCTTTTAACTACTTTGTCAATTGTCTGATTTCCAACTAATATGCACGTGGCTTTTGTTTATTTTGTCTTCCTTCCCTGAGATTTAGCTTACCTAAACTAACACTTGCAGGAGTATTAGTCATTTAAAGAAAATTCTACCATACAAAATATGGCCACCCCCGACTTTGTACTTCAGTTACACTGAATGTAATTTGTTTTTTTCTGCCCCACTGGATTTCATAAATTTTGTTGGATTTCCTAAGTTGTTCTAATGTTACGATGATTTTTGAGAGTGCCAATGATTTTTTAAAATTGTCTTTCTTTTTCTTTTTTTCTTTTGCAATCAAGGTATAACATGATAGCAATTTGAATTTTCTCTGCTTCTTTTGCTTACTTATAGGAAAGGGTGACTATTGCTCATCTTTTTGTTGGTACACAGATCATTAGATATTTTGAGTCTTAATCTCTGGATTCTTAAGATTGTTTTTTCATTTCCCGCTCATTGCTCCTTTACATTATGAGTTACCTATTTCTGAGACGCGTTAGCTTTGAACTAACACGTACCGTTGTTCTGTTTATAGAATACAAATGAAACATGAGATTGTTGTCTTATTTGTTTGTAACTTTTGTACCCCTACTCTCTTTTACAGGAGGCTCATTTAGCCAGATTTGAGTGGAAAATGACATAGAATACCATAAATGAATCTCCTAAACTGATAGAAACTCCAGTGGTGAAAATCATCCTATCTAGTTCCCCATTCATACTTCAGCTAAAGAAATTACAGTTGCCTTATTGACACCCACTGCATCATTTATTTGTATAATCCTATATATACTTTGTGGGCTGTTACATATTTCTTATAAACTAAGAAGAACCCACAAGTCAAACTTTCTGAGGCTCTCGAGTATTTTTATGCCATATCAAAAGGAAGGAATTAATGCACTGTACAACATGTGAAAGTTGAATTTGTAAGTTTGATTATTGTGTGGAGAGAATTCATCCACATGTAAACAAAGGCCATGGCTCAATTTAAGCATTTGACTTTGAAGGCAGATTTGCATGAGAATTCACTTGCAGTGAGGCCACCCAGCTACCAAGCTACCTGCTTTCTAATTTTAACTGCACCTTGATTCTCTTTTAGTACCTCAAAAGTTGAACTAGAAAGTGGAAATTTTTATAAAGATCTGTAAGCTTTAAACATAAATTTACTTTCTTACAGTGATATTCCGTTAGTTCCCCTGTATGTAATTATAGTCTGAAAGATGTGCGTAGCTATTCATTATTTAGGGGACTAATTGGTGTGCTATTTGCCTAGCATAAAAAGGCTTTGCCTGAGTGTGCATTGTGGGAGCAACATTTGCACATATTCACTTTATATTTTAGTACAGTTGTAACATTGTTATGTGTGCATGCAGTTAATATGATTAACTTCTTGCTGAGTCTTTGTTGTTTAATTCATTGTATGGAATTTCAGTTTTTATAAATTTGATTTCTTTTGTTGATAAAAACTCTCATTACAGTACCTGTCTTAACTTTTCACTCCAAGACTGAAAAACAAAATCAGGTGGTGAATTAATTTTACATAATCTTTTTTTTTCCATTTGAGAATAAGCAGTAATGTGAAATCACGTCGCTTATGTCTCCTGCAGTTCCAAAAGAGCAAACAAAGCAAAGATTCCATCTTCTTCCGGGATGGGATCAGGCAAATCGATTTTGTGCTTTCCTATGTTGATGACATAAAGAAAGATGCAGACATAAAGGCGGTAAGTGCTTAATGGAGAGAGGGGATAGTCGGAGATGGTCACTGCAGAATCAGACCCAGGAGTTTGCCTTAGGTATCTACATTGGCCAGCATTGTAGATGTCAGAGTGATCTGAGTTTCATTGACAGCTGAAACTGAAATGGCCACAAAAGAGGTATCCAACAAAGTCTTTGTAGATAGGGAGGGCTGGAGGGGGTGAAGGGAGGGCAGGGAATGGGGAAAAAATGAGAACCAAGATGGATTATGTAAAGGTGCAAATTTCCAATGATGAATGTCATTATTTTATATACTTAAATGCACCAATGAAATTAATTTAAAAAAAAGAATGGATGTGGAAAGTCTTATTTTACTTCCTGGATATTTGGGAGGCTGTTCTTCATCTTCTTGAAAGTGATTGATATGTTTTTTACAGAGTTCATGTTAGGAGCTAAATTGATCTGTAAAGTATGAGGGATGTTCTGAATATTTATTTTTTGTTTGAAATTTTAATTTTAAGAATATGTGACTAGTCCATCTGACCTGAAAAAAAGGATTTGCAGAACTGCTTTTAACAGTTAAACTTTTATTGTTCTATCTTTTCCTGCACTTAAAATTATCATTCTACTTTTCCTACATAATTTTTATAACATAAATACTTTATCCTTAGGAGCACTTTATTGTTCATTTGGTCATAACTTGCTGAAAGAAACATAGTATATTGATGGAGATGTTTTTATTGCCTTTAGCCATAACACTCTAAGTCTGAAACTTTTGATTTTCCATTTAATCGTTTTATAATTGCATGAGTGTTTAGTTGATAAAACATCCTGAATCTATTACAAAATCTACCAAGTACTAATTAAATATAAAACAAAATACATTATAAATGCATTGATTAATGAGATAGAAGGACTTTAAATTGTCCTCTATACTCATGTATGAATAAAATGTATTTCTTGAATGAGGTGGTTCAGCTTCAATTATATTCCATATCTATATATGAGCATGTTCATATATATTCCATATGTCCATTATGTTCACATATGTTAATATATGTTCACAAATATGTTAATATAGGTCAATTGTGTATATACAGAATGTAATAGACATGTGTATATGTCAACACATGTATATATTGGATATAATATATATTAATGTAGAGGAAAATTGTTCAGGTAAGTAACTGGATTGGAATAGACATGTTATTATAGAATTGTCAGTATTTATTTAATTCCTGACTTCCATCTCAGAATTACAAAATGATTTAATGCTTAAAATCATGTTTATTGATCTGTCAGATTGCAGCTCCATTAGCTCTACCATCAGAATTTTTTGTTTTCTGTGGGGGTGGGTACTGGGGATTGAACTCGTGTTCTTTCGAGGCAGGTGGCAGAACCACTGAGCTAAATCTCCAGCTCTAATATCGATTTTGTATGACTCAGAGAATTCATGATCAGCTGATTTACAAAGACATATGTTCCTGTATTAAAGAAAGAGCTAGTCTTTCTTAGTATTGAAAACAATGTATTGAAAGTGTTCCCCATCCACTAATTTTTGTTTTTCCAGAAGTTGCAATCTGCCTTAATTTGAAGAAGGCCATGGATGAAAAGTTAGCTGAGAGGGAAGAGCGTGGATCAGTATCTTAAGCCTGTTCTCATTAGTATTGGAGACAGATAAAAAGAACATATTAAAAATTTATTCTTTGAAAGGTACAAAGAATTCTCAAGGTCGACATGCCTATGTGAAGATGAATGTCCTAGAAGGAATATTGAAGATTTTTAAAAATTCAGTCATTCTGAATTTTTTCCCACCTCAATCATAATTAAGGCCAAAGATAGTTCTCCCCATCGATACACTTTTAAAATCTCACAGCTAGGATTATTTGCAATAATGACCTATAGTAAAATTTATCTTTGATTTTTCTAAGTGAAGCTATTCTGTCCCTCAAGAATAAAAAGCCATCTTGATAATTAAACTTAGCACTGCATTAAAATTATAGCTTATTGAAGAGTATTGATTTTTGTAAGCCTGAGTCTTTCCAGCAGGGAGCCCGATGAGGCTATGTTTATGAGTGTTTTAAAAATTCATGTTATTGAGTAAAGTTTTATATTTATCTTCAAATAGAGCCCTGAATAGTTCTTAGAGATTGGTTAGAAATGTATTGTATTTTTTATAGTTATGTTCAGTTACTTTACAGGTAAAATTTTGATCATGGAAATTACAAGTAGAACCATTACATACAGCATGGGAGGGGTAATATAGGACACTGCCATTGTGTGTTGAATCTGTTTAGCACTGAGCAAAGGGAATAGTGTTTATTTTTAATAAAAGAAGACATTTTATTTGAAGGTGGGGGAAAGTAGAGAGAGAGAGAGAGAATATGGTAGATGGCTACTGTGGACCAGTAATGTGAATTTGAAAGTAAATTGCTCTGGGAATGGTATTTTGCACCATTTTATTTTGTTTTGTTTTATTTTGTTTTGCCATAGGAAAGAAGAAAAGAGTTTGAACAAAATCTCATAAAGTCGGGTCTTGAGTTGGAAATTGAAGACAAAAGGGTAAATATAGTTGATAATTTATGCAAAAATCCTATTTATTGTTTTTTTCTTCTGACCTTTGACCAGCTAGATTTTGTGTTTGAGGCAATATGTAATGCTTTTGGCCAGAGATTGGTGCCCTGAAAATCATAGGGCACAATTTTACGGGTCTGTAAACCAGCCAACTGAGCAGATGGGTAATGGACTCTTAAAAATGTATGGTTTCTGTTGAGAATGTCAAAAAAAGTGAGGACATAGTGTAACCTATCATTTAAGCTACGATATAGTGTTCATGGGGATTCTTCTAACTTCTTCTCATTAACTGTTTTTCTAGAATTTCCTTCAAAATTGTTTTTCAAGACCTACTTACGATCTTACCCCTGTCTATAACACTTCCGATACTGACTGTGATAAACTTATCTCTCCTATCTTTACTGAGCCAATAAATGTATATTATACCACACAATATGTGACTTAATTATTTATTGACATGACTAACCCGTGTTAGCCAAAGCTCTTTCTCTTCGTGTAGGCCGATATCGAAGGTGGGTAAGAAGAGGGAGGACATCGTATAGCTTGTACGTATCTCTTATATAACCTACACAAAATTATTAGTTCATATCTAGTCACTAAAATTGAAGGGATTGCCCAGAACTGTGCACTTAGGGCAGAGTTACTTTGACCCTGACTTATATTCTTACATATATGATCTTTTCTGTTTCTGGGTGCCCTTGCTTCCTCCCGTCTGTATCTCTCTCTCTCTCACACACACACACACACACACACACACACACGCACACACACACACACACACACACACACACACACATTTGTATCTTGTTTGGGGGATTTCGTCTGCGAAATTTTTGCTGAAAACTCTTAAATTGGAAGTGGTGTGACATTGTCGGAAAACGTGACGCTTTCTTTCTTTTCTCTAATCCGCTCAGTCATCTCCCTGTTTTCTTGCTGCTTTTCTGCAGGACTCAGAGGACGGAAGAACTTACTTTGTCAAGATCCACGCCCCCTGGGAGGTGCTGGCGACCTACGCCGAAGTGCTGGGGATCAAAATGCCCATCAAGGAGAGTGACATCCCCCGCGAGCAGCACTTACCCTTTAACTGCATGCTCGCGCCCGTGCAGCTCCCGGAGACAGTGAAGTACCCTCGTCCTGAATATTTCACTGTCCAGTTCAACAGACGTCGGCAGGAGCTCTTCCTCATTGAAGACAAAGCCACATTCTTCAAGTCCTCATCGAGAAATAGAATTGTAGGTAGAGAAGAGCTTGCGCCCGTCCCTGTTGGCGTGGCGTGTGTCCTTGCAGTCTTAAGTGAGCAGTACTAGGTCTGCACACGCTGCTCTTGCGCGGAAGAGAAAAGTTGGTGGGATGGGGCACCTTTGAAGGTCTCTCGGGTCCACTCCGTGCCCTTAATCTCCCTACCTCTCAAGCTGTTCTTTAAATAGTGGCTGACAGCGTTAATACAGAAATGACAAAGGCGTCATGAATCCTAGAAGCTCTTAACTGAGAATCAGCGGCTTAAAACAAAATAAAAACTTCCTATGAGCTTTATAAGGAGCGTTTATACTTTCAAAATTTGGTTTTATAAGTTGACTGTGTATTAAGAGAAATATTGGTCATCCCAAGTTAAAAGTGAATGTTTTAACTTCTTCATATAGGGACAGAGTTTGAGACGCTCCAGAACTTTCCCCTTCCCTATTGACAGGTATACACAGCCTTTGAATAACAATATTTCCTCTCTTTTTGTGGCCCTGGTATCTTTTTATTTCCCATAAGAATCTCTCCTCTGAATATCACTATTTCCATGCCACTCTTTCTTTGTGTGTAGAGAAAAATAATATTTGTGTCATAGGCTATGTTGAGAAGTAAATAAGATGTGAAAAGCTTTGGACAGCACCTGGCACATAGGAATCTTCTCACTGTTGTCGGTGCTATCATTATTGATTCGATGTCAGAAGAAAAATCCCTGGTTTCATGTTGCTCAAACACTGTATGTGCTCCTTGTTGAATTAACCATCTAGTTCATAAGTCATAAGACTCTTCCCTGTGACATTGTACATGCTCTCTTTTCTGAAGATTCTATTTCCTCCTGGCTTCTAAATCAATATTTTAAAAATTCATTGCTAGGAATGCTCAGCAAAATATAATTTCTAGAATTTTTGATGTAAAATATGAGTCCGCAAACTGTAAAACCTTTCCTTTTTTTTCCTAACAGAATTTAACAACAAAAACAATTAGAAGAGGTCATCTTTAAGGGAATAAAGAGTATATGGCAAGGAATCACCAGAATGTCTGGTGCCAAGTCATACTCTGTTACTTTCTAAACGAGACAAGTTCTTCTGCAAGAGATAACAACAACCATTGGTGTTATAGTGAGAATCAAGTGAAACACTTGTTCCTTAAAAGTCTGCCAGTGAAAAACCAGCGACTTTAAAGGGTTGAGTTAGGGATTTAAATGTAACTATCCCTTTACTCCCACTTGTCCCACATAAACAGTGCCAATGCTGAGGCTAATTCATTAATATATAGAGGGAAAATATGATGTGTCCTGTTACGAACTTATTTGGAAGGATAACAGAGAAAAGTCCTTTCCTTCCTTCGCTCAGCCAGGATGCTGTAGTGTTTATATGTTCAAATTGAGCAGTACCACAAGGATATCTTCATTAGGATAGAATTTCATACATTTCAAAGCCCACCCACCATGATATCTGACTGCCCCTTCTCTCTTTATATATAGATGATAGAAGATAGATAGATAGATATATAGAAGATAGATAGATATATATATATAGAAGATATATATATATAGATGATAGATAGATAGATAGATAGATAGATAGATAGATAGATAGATAGATAAAATTAAACATACTAAACAGGTACGAAGTATCTCATCAATTTATTACAAAGACAGGAGTGGCTCCTTCAGCAACCGAAGCCAAAGTTTCCATCCATCTACAGTGGAACACTTTTTTGTTGCACTGATACAGTTGTATCTCACCGTATTGTTCTCTACTTAGTTGTACTCCTAAATATTTCACTTTCTGCAAATTGCAAGTTCATGGCCACCCTGGTACTGAGCCAGTCCACTGGTGCCAGTTTTCCAAGTGCACGTATCTACCTCATGTCTCTGTCATCTTGGTAATTCATGCCATATTTCAGACCTTTTCATTTTTATAGTGTCTATTACGGGTATCTGTGATGGGGGTTTCTCAGATGTTACTTGGGATACTTCATCGATACTCCTATCTGTTCTGACTGTCCACTGCTCAGCAGTTCTCTCTGCTTCTCCACGGACTCTCCTGTCCCTTGAGACAAACTATTGAAATCCAGCCACTTATCCACCCACGATTACCTCCATGTGCTCAAGTGAGAGGAAGAGGGATGCTTCCCTCACTCTAAGTCAAAAGCTGGGAAGGAGTAAGCTCCAAGGCTTCTCAAACCCGGAGAGAGTCCAGGGGCCATGCCTCTTATACCAGGTGAACTCACTGTTCCTGAGAAGGAAAAGTTCTTGAAGGAACTTGAAGTGCGCCTTCAGTCAGGATACAAATGACAGCAGGGAGTAACAGCCTTGTGGCTGATGTGAGGAAAGTTTGAATGGAAGATCAAAGCAGCATCATTAGCATCATTACTCCCTTAAGGCAAAGCCAAATCCAGAGCACTGGCCAGGTTACTATATCCAGAAAATCTAGCGAAGACACTTGATGGAGGGGGCTGCTTTAAGTGGCGAATGCTCAGTGAAGACAGAACAGCTCTCTGTTGGCAGAGGATGCCACCTAGGAGCTTGGTAGCTGCAGCAGAGAAGGCAGTCCCTGGCTTTCAAGCTTTAGACAGGCTGACTCTTTTGCGAGGCACCAACGCAGCTGGTGAAAACCATTCTAAACTTCCCATCATCCTGAAGAATTGGCCTAAATCCCTGCCTATGTTCTAGAGATGGAACAAAAACAGCCCGAGTGTCTAACCTTCACTTACTACTGCATCTTGTAATTCATCTTAATGTCTGGTAGAGTAAATATTCCACTTTGACAGCAACCAACCCACATCAGCGTTGTTCTTTTGGTGACTATTTCTTCAGGAGATAATCCAAAGTATATGAGGTGTTTTTTATTTATTACACTCCGCATGAAATGAAAACTGCGAATTATTGTTTCCTCACCGAAATGGAACTTTAGGTTATCTTTAGAATGGTTGAACCGAGTAGGTAGTAATGATTCGAGGACAAAATCGATCCCAGTCAACACCTTGACGGATGAAATGTCAAAGAAAGATGGAAGTAGATGGAAGAGCAGAGTGGGGATGTATCTCAAACGGCACTCACAGGAACACATTCTGTAATCAGAAAAAGTTGAAATTCTGAAGAGTTGCTGGAAGACAAGTAGCAGATGAGGCTGCATTAATAGAAACAGGAGAACTGGGGATACGACAACCCAAAGTATATGCAAGAGAAAGATGGTAAAAAGGTATAAAGGACTTCAAAGTGGTCATAAAGAGATGATAATCTTGGTTAATAAATCCAGCTCAAGCTACTAGCAGGTAAAAGCTCCATATAAATCGTCAGAATAACTTATTCAAGAAATATTTTAAAAGAGCATGGCTAAGCATTAGTTGTATCTCCTATTTCTCAAAGTGAACTATTTATTAGTACTGATATGAGACTCCAACTTGAAACCCTGATTATTGTTGGGATTCTGGCATGGAGAACTCACAGAGAAGCTTGGGATGAAGATAGCAAAACAAATTGAGAACCGTCAACCCTCACAGCCACTATTAGAAAGGGGAATTCTCAGAGCTAAATTCCACACAACTCCAATTTTATCTTCTCTCAAACAGTAAAGGGAAGCGTCCTACTGTCCTTATCATCTGGGTCTATAGGCAGACACAATGGACTTTGTGAGATTGTGGTTAAAAATGTGAAAAGCACCAAGATCTGAAAGCTGCTAGCTGCTCTTTGTATTTACCTTTTAGGTATACTATATTCTTTCACGGTGTCCTTTTGGTATAGAAGATGGGAAAAAAAAGTTTGGGATTGAAAGACTGCTAAATTCTAACACTTACTCATCTGCCTACCCACTCCATGATGTAAGTATGATTTCAGCTGTGAAATACCAAGCTTAGTTCCTTGCATGTTCAGAGATTGCCTTTCTGGAGAAATAAAATCTCCATATCCTTTCCTTTTTTTTTTTTTTTTTTAATCTCCATTTTCTTACTTCTCTCTCATGATGGGAAAAATTCCTAAGACTTGCTGGTTCCTAACTGAAAATTCCACTAGTCATGCTGAAAGATACAGTTAGCACCTCTTGCAATTGAGGTTTTAAAAGTTTATTCCTCGGGTTTCATCAGAGGTAGCTATAGCTACAGAAGAAAGAAGTTGGATGCCACGTGATATAAAGTTATATACCTTATTATAAAGGTTTCATGGGCCGGGGATTTAGCTCAGTGGTGCTGCTGCCTGCCTCACAAGCACAAGGACCCAAGTTCAATCCCTGGTACCAAAAAAAAAATAAAAGGCTTCATGTTTTACACTGGATACCCTTCAGTATTTTGTTTAGCAGTTCACTTGTCTACACAGAGAAAAAAAATCCATTAAGTAGCTACTATGTACACAGTTCTTATATACTAGGCCATACACTGAGAATATGAATACTGCTCTCTATTACCTAACAATGAGTAAAGAACTTGCACATAAAATAATACCGAGGCTCTCAGTGCTACACTGTGCTGTAATATTTTGACTTTGTTGGGAAGTGGGTAGCAGCCGTGACCAAAGAGTACAGCAAGCATTTCTGTAGTAGCTGAATGACTCCTATCAACTTCCAAACTCTGCTAGGGGTTTGATTTTTTCCATCTATAAAAGAACATGGCTGGCACATTTTTAAAGTCCCAGCCAGCTCCCTAGTGACAGGAGTCTGAGCTGGAATAGTACGTGGAGATTCAGCAGAGAAGAAAGGCCATCGTGGGCCGAGGGAATGACTAGAGGAAAGGCAGAGTTTCGCATTTAAACTTGGGCTTTTAGGCCATTGTTACAGATGTAATAAATAAATCACCGTGATTATAGGTTTAGATAGATTGCAGCACATGAATCAAGTTCAGTGGAATTCTGTCAATGAATGATGGAATAAGAATATAAAAGAGGGCATTAATGGTCCTGGCCCACTAGTGTTCTTTAAAAATAGAATAGCGTTTATTTATTTCATTCTTACTTCGTCGCTTTGTCTTTGTTACCTTTTCCCTGAACATTTATAGGGCCAGTATTGGAAGCCCTCAGAGCCTCCAAATCCTGTCAATGAACGGCACATACTTCATAAGAACTGGGCTCGGTTTTCCTACTTCTATAAGGAACAGCCTCTGGACTTGATCAGGTGAGCTTGTCACACGAGATCCTACTAATTTAAGCTCAGTGATGTTATTTTTATTCAAAATGACATCATAATCTGTTATTTTTTACCACCATTTTCAAAGACTACATTTTGCCATGTCTCTGTTCCCTGCTGTACTACTGATTAGTATTGTACTTGGGAGCAAAGTGTTGCTGTCCAAATCTATGAGAGAGAACAGATACAGTAAGATGGTTCAAAGCTTAGGCCTTTGAATTTAGCCTGGTTGGATTCAAATGCAAGTTCTGCTTCAAAAAACTGTTTAAACTCAGGCAATTTATTTAACTGCAATCTGTGCCATGGAAATGATAATAGTACTTTCACTGTGGGGTTATCTGATGACTAAATAAGAGGTGTGTATTTTGGGCCTAGGAATATCTTAATTCCCTATTAGTTTTGTTTTTGTTTTAGAGGACAAGAAGTTAGAAGGTAGGAGAAAAATCAATGTATCAGTACTTGTCTGTGTGATGATCTCAGAAAGCTATAAAATCATTTCTTTTATATCCACACTCCTTTAGAATTTCATTAACTAAACAACAAAATGAGGCTCCTAGAGGCTGTATTTTTTGTTGGATTTATTCTTGGGCTGCTATGTTTGTACAGCAGCATTTCAGCATCTAGTTGATGAGACTGATTTTGGTGCATCCACCAAACCAATTGAAATGTTATCTATACAGTTTAGATGGCGAATCTAAGAGACAATGAAGGCAAATAGGAGACATTTAAAAAATAAATAGGTTCCGCGCCAGCTTAGAAAACGATGTTTTCTCTGTAAGTCATCATGAAAACTTTTTCCCTTGGTTGCCTCTTTTGATTTTTTGAATAATTATATTTTAATTTTAAGTCACAAAACAGAAAATTTATGAAAAAAATTAAGGAGCAGAAGGATGTGTAAAAGTTTTAAGTGCAAAATGCATCTCCATTGAATATCAACGAAGAAACTACTCTAGGGCCAGGGATTTAGCTCAGTGGCACCATTCCTGCCTCACAAGCGCAAGGTCCTAAGTTCAATCCCTGGTATTCCCCTGCCCCCCAAAATAGAAATAACTGCTGCAAATTTGGTAATATCCACTTGGTTCTGTCTGTCTGCACAAGAAATATGATTCACAAATACAGTTTTGCCAAGGACATCGTAGATGTTTTTATTTTTTTGGCCACTCATAGAACAATTGTTTGGTGAGCTATCATTACTATTGACATCTTCATCCCACTTTTTTGTGCTGAGAATTGCATTTTGCACTACACATATTATTATATCCTTTTTGATAAACAGACAAAGATCTGCCTCATACTTTGGGAACTGAATATAGAATATCTTATCACTGGTTTCTATTGAGTTATTACTTTTTCTATTGAATATAAGAATGTCCCACTTTTTTCACTCTTGTGTTCAGTGCTGTCAAGAACACCTGCAACATTTTGCTGTTGGAGAATATTTTTGCAGTCTATTTTCAGACAAACAGAATTGTCACAATGAATGTCTGCACCTTTTACGTTATTCGAAACATCGTGGACATGTGTTCACTTAATATTACTCAGTTGTCTACTACACATGTTCAGTGCTAAAAATATCCATCAGTAGTTGGTTTTCCCAACCCCAGATATACACAGAAACGTTACATCTCAGGTCACTGTGGTGTATCTGGAATATCTTGAAAATAGCTGCTAACTTCCTTTTACTGCAAACACAAAGTGCAGGCATTTCACTGAAGAACAGTGTGTAGCTTAAATTTAATAACTTTAAAAGTATTTTGTTGTTTTGTAACAATCTGTTTTCATGTAGAGCAAATTGTGCTGTTCCAATTTCAACCCTGGAATTACTTTTACAATGAATGTATAATTTGAGGAACATTTAATGTAAATAAATCAAAACAGTATAAAATTTTAACTTGATAACTGAAAAGGCAAAGGAGAAAGCCTTATATTGTCACAGAGGCAGCGACTGCATGGAAGAAAGTGACTGCACATTGTGCCCAGAGTTTCCTTTCGGTGGTTATGGGAGAGGATATCTTCATTCTTGAGAACAGACAGAGACATATTCAGGGTCAAGGAACATAGTATATTTTTTTTTCAAGTGGTTCAGAAAGATTGATGATAGATGCACATGAAGCAAAATGATTGCAGTTGAAGAATCAAAGCATATGTTGAGTTTCTTTGAATTGTTCTCATAAATTTGTGGATATTTGAAGCAATTTGCAAATGAAAACTCACATAAAGGGGAAGTTTAGAACTTGGCCCATGCATATATGAGTGAGCAATTTTCAGTAGAGGTGTCCTGCAATTCGGGGAAAAAGCCACAGTCCTCTCGTCAAATGATGCTGGTTCAAATGTATATCCACAGGCCGAACGTGAATCTCGGCCCTTTCCTGTAGAAAACTCTGAATTAACCGGAAGTGGATCAGAGTCAAAGCATAGGAAATAAAACTACAAAACCTTTTAAGGAGCATGTAGGAAAAAAATCTAAATGACCTTGGGTTATATGTTATTTTCTCCGATAAGACTGAACACAATAAAAACAGATATGTTTGATTTAAGCAAATCCGGAATGTTTGCTCTTTACAGGGCAGTTGTAAAAAATCAAACAACAGACTGGTAAGACATATGTGCAGTTTCCATAAACGACTTTTATCTAGACTATATGAGGAAATCTTAAAATCCAGGTGGCAAATAGTTTAAAAATGGACAAAGAACAGTCAGATACTTCACTAAAGACTTATGCTTATGGATGACCAACCAACAAGCATATCAGATTTCATCATTATTATTATTTAGATTCCACTATCCTTCCCCTCAAACAGCTAAAATGAAGAAGACTCAGGGAGTGGGAAACCCTGGTGGGACCTGGCGCTCTCCAAATCCGTCACCCTGCTGCCGGGGGCATCTCGCTCCAGCGCATTTACACAGCAGTTTGGCAGCTTCTTATAAAGTGAAATGCACACATTCCTTGTGATCCAGCAGTCCCAGTTGCAAGTATTAAACAAGCAAACAAACAAACAAAATGAAGCATTTGAGCAAAAACATGTTCGTAGCAATTTAAGGATAATAAAAAACAGGAAAGAATTCAAACATTCATGAACATATCACTGGGTCAACAAATCTTAATACCAATGGATGTTTTCAGAATTACAGAAGCAAATTAATAATGAAACACTGAAGATGAAACTGAAAAGCATTGTGTTAAAGAAAAGAAGCAAACCACAAAAACCTACATGAACTGCAGTTTCCATTTAAAAATATTCTGAAAAATATTGGAAGGGGCAGAATCGGAACTGTGCTGGGGCAGGTGCAGATGTTGGGGAAAGGGTTAGTGACGAGCGGTACAAGGGAACTCTGTGAAGAGATATAAGTGCTGGCTGTATAATGAGAGTGATGGCTGTGAACTTCCCAAACTATACACTGAAGCCAAGAATAGTTTATGGTACCTGAATTATGTACCAAGTGATCTCACTGGAAAAAATAAGAATAAACACTTCTCTGGGATAAGAAAACTGTTGGGATGTGATTAGGAAAGCCAGAGAGGGAAAAAAGCTGAAATCTTGGGTAGAGGGAAATTGTTAAATTTCCTCCAAATATATCTAAAATCTTATCCAAGGGGCTGGTAACAAGAAGGAAAAGAAACTATAGATTAGGAAAATAATTTTTTGACACTGTTTATGGGTCCTAATGGATGTTAGATATGGACAATAAAGGAAGACAACTGGTGCCTGCAAGATTTTGAAAATGGCAATAAATTCTTAAATTTTACATATTTCCTGTTCTCTCTACCGAAAATCAATTCCACATCCACATAGTTTTGCTTTTTCTGCCACTTGGGCCCTGATCATTTTGAAGGAAAAGGGTGTTACCAAGATTGCTGTCATCAACATTTCAGTTTTATATATAATGCTAGCTCTTTTCTCCATTTCAATTTGACAGTTTCATATAATTCTTTTCTAATATCGCCTGTTTTGCACTTCTTAGTGCTCAAAAATGAAATGGATATATTGCTGCATACTTATATCGAATAAGTGTCATTATAGTGACTATCGTGATACTTTTATAATGTGAAGATACAATATAGCAAAGTGAAAGGCTGCTTGTTGAGAAGTGATACTTATAACCTTTATATTTGGTATTGCCTTATTGTCAGCATTGTGGAAATCACAGTTTAATAAGAAGTTCTTTCACAGAATTACATGACCTGCTGCTAGGACCCAAAAAGAATCATCTCTGCCTGTCCGGGAAGCTGTGGATCATCTCTCAGCTTTGGTCAACTGGGCTCTGTAGTGATAAAGAGGAGGACTAACCATTTAACTCAATAAAACTTGGTTTTCTGAGGCTGAAAACTACATTCTTGGGTCCCTAAAGGGGACTCAATTTAAAAAAAAAACAAAACTTAGATTTGAGAAGAAAATTTATGCTCATAATTCTGTCACTGCTCAGCGCTGGGGATTTGGCCCCCTGGTTCCACTGCCTGCCTCACAAGTGCAAGTTTGGTTCCCAGTACCCCCCGCAAAAAAATTCTGTCACTTCCTGGCTCTCTCTAAACAAAAGCAGAGCTGCATATTTTATGGAATTTCACTTAGTCTTTTTCAATTCCTTGTCACAGCTCTTATGTTTTATCAGTCCAAGACCTGGACTGGGAAGAAGACAAAAATTCATACAGAGAGCATGGCCAAAATGCCTTCTTCAGTTTCACAAAGAGAGGGAAAGGACTGGCGTGTGTAGCTTAGGACTGTCATTTTGATTCCTGGTATTCATTGACAGAATTTGCACTGCAGAAAGTCTGTAGTTTATTTCAAAAACAGTTCAACTTTCTTCACAATGGAGATACTCTTCAAATAGTCTGAATATGCAAAATTTAAATTCCATTCAATGGCTCCTTTCTCCTCTGTGCTACAGCTTTTAATTTCTATACCTATTCTGATGTTATGGGATAAGCATCTTTCTGTGGTTTATGACGTGGAAAGTAAAGTTCAGAGAGTTGAGTAACTTTACCAAAATTACATGGCCAGAAGGCAGTGAAGCCAAAATTGGAACACATGCCTGTCTAAATACAGAACTAAGGCCCCTTGGATTAAAACACGCCTCTAACTCCTGGTTCTATTTTTACTGTCTTTCACAGGGATTATTATGGAGAAAAAATTGCTATCTACTTTGTCTTTCTTGGTTTTTACACAGAGATGCTGTTCATTGCAGCTTTGGTTGGCTTAGCTTGCTTTATTTATGGCTTATTATCAATGGGCAGTAACCCAAGCAGGTAAGGACCCCGAGTATCCCAGAGAAAACATCTTTATCTTATCCAAACTGGATCTGTTACTGTTATTTCCTGGTGTTTCCTCAAGTCAGTAAATAATCGCTTTTTCTGAGGATAACACAGACATACCAGCTTTCCCTCCTTTGGGTGCTTTATGGGAAGTCTCCTTTGGATTATGAGCTATGAACATTGTGTTCCTAAAGTATGCCTTGACCACCCCCTCTAGAAATTACTGCTGTATTTCCCCTTCTGTTACATGTGGGAAGCTATATAAATGATTGTTCTGATAAGAACAGCTTAGATTTTCGTCTCAAACCTCACCGTTTCTAAAATAACTCCACTCTTCCCTGGGTAGCATGGAAATCTGTGACCCTAACATTGGCGGTCAGGTGATTATGTGTCCACTGTGTGACCAAGTGTGTGACTACTGGAGGCTGAACACCACCTGTTGGGCTTCAAAGGTAGATATTCATGGTGGCATGTTGAAAAGACTTGGGATTTCCCTTCTTTTGAGCTGCACTGGATACTAAGTGTCTTTGTGTTGTTGTTATTGTTATTTTTACAGTTCTCCCATTTATTTGATAATGAGTCAACAGTGTTCTTTGCAATATTCATGGGAATTTGGGGTGAGTACCTAGTCCCGTTAAAAACAGCTTTCTCCACATGATAGATTTATAGTTCATTCAAATAACATAGTCAAGGAAAGAATGAAATGGAGTTAATGCAAGAAAATGAAAAAATGGAAATACAGTCTTTATAAATAGGGAAGGGTGAAGGGTTTGAAGGGAGGGCAGGGGAGTGGGGAAAAATATAAGAACCAAGATAGATTATGTAAAGGTGCAAATTCCCAATGAATAATGTCATTGTACTGTATACCTAAAATGTGGAAATAAAATTCATTAAAAAAAAGAAAAAGACTCTCAAGAAAGTGAAAAAAAAGTTCAGATAACATATTTTATATTTCAAATGTGGTTTTGAACCATTGTGCTCTTGTTGTCAATACATGGATGGATTCGTAGGGCCTCGGTCCTAGGTGTATAAAAGTCTTTGTGAACAAGTACCCCTTTCTCTAAGAAACAATGTAATCTTGAGACATGAAGTTATTAGGCTCCCAGTCTGTTGCAGTGCCTTAGCAAGAAGAGGTTCATAAGCACTTAATTTAGGAGAGACTAAACAATATTTGATAACTGGAAGAAACTGAGTCAAAGAACACTTGACTTATGAGCTCAATGGGTTCCCTAGGGCTGGTTGTAACTCAAGTTGGTTATAAGTCAGTACAGCTGAGATGTTTCCCTGGGTACACGCTATAGATAACAAGAGGCAGATGAGTCTTCCATAACCCTATTAACCCAAGAGGTTCACGTTTCAGTCAGGTCATGATTTGAGGGTCCACTGTATTATGGAACAAGTTTTAAAAGCTTTTGGGAGGCTACTAAATAATTGGGGTTTTTAAAAATTTTTTAATTTGGTACATTTTAGGTACACGATACAGTTACATTCATTATTGGGATCCTGTACATTTGCATGATATATCTTGGTTTTTATTTTTTCCCCATTCCCCTGGCCTCCCTTGACACTCTTGACTCTTGATTCTCCATGTCTAGTTCTAAGTGTAGCCTCCAGATTCACTTGATAAAAATCTTCCCCATAGAGTTCACTTCACTTTGGAAATATCCCGCACAGTGTTTTCTTTTTTCTTCTTCGGTTTTTTTTTTTTTTTTTTTTTTTTTT